GGAAGGCGGGCGCGTTGTCGTTCCGGTCCCGCACGGCGAGGTAGACCGCCGCCGTGGCATTCAGCCGCCCGGACCCCCGGTCGGTCGCCAGCACCGTCAGTCGGTGGTGAGCCTGCTCCTCGCGGTCTAGCGCAACCCAGTTTATAATTTCACCTGAGGGACAAAGCAAAGGAAGGTTACGTTCCCCGCCGTGCCGGGGACGCCCCGCAGCGCAGGGGGGGAACGGCGCGAACCAACGCGCTGGGCTCCCGGAGAAACCCTCGGGCCTGGTGTTCACCACGCTGCAGCACAGGTACCACACCAGCACCGGGGTTTCGCTGCCGACAGACGGCCTTTGTTACGCCGCTGGGTCAGGAAATTCTCAGCACCGTGTGCGTACGTTAACCAGGAAGCCTTCCGTCTCCTGCGCATTCTGGCTGACCCAGCGAGTAAACCTGACCCAATCTCCTCTCCATCAGCTCAACCATACTCAGTGCAGCTCTAGATTTGCAGCTGACAAAAGTCCTCCACACAGATAACCACATATGATTCCAGGATCTTCTTGGTTAAGCCCTAGTACTCCGGTTGCGTTTAAACATCCATAAATGTACTCAACAGGAACCTGCTTTGAAACGACAGTTTTATTTTGAGATTCATACAGAGAAGTTCTGGGAGAGCCTATTAACTCCCCAGGAGGACAGGACATCTGGGAACAGGAATTTTAAACAGCAGGCCTTTGCTCGCTACATATCATTTTGCTAAGCCGCATTATTTACAGTGCCTGCGTTCCTCACAGGATTCCCCCCCTCTGGGCTCTCCGTGCCGTGCCCCGTGGCGTCACACTGTGTGGATGGACTATCTATGACTCAAGGCATTTGGGATTCACTGCACAGCACACCCTGTGCTGTGAAAAATTTCTCTCGGACAAGTTGATTTCTGTGGTGCAAGGTACAACATGAACTCAGTTTTGATGTAACTTACCGAAGTTTTCACAAATATTTTAAATCACTGTAACTGTCCAATGTCATAGTTACCTTTACAGCTACTTACAGATGATCTGCAGTTTTCAACTGTACATGATCACAGGCAATTAAATTCCTCGTATGAACTATCGATGCTGTAACTTAAAACTCCTTCTTTTAATTTGTTACAGTCAAACACTGAAACTCATGACCAAGTGACCAGAATGAAGTAGTGAAAAAAATCAAATCCTAAGGGTTAGTTCACTCTTCATGAACATGTATTAGATTTATTTCATTCCCCAGATTGTGAAGCTCTGGATTAGAATATGCACATGCCAACCCACGAGATTCAAAGCAGTTCCTGAAAGCTTTACACTTTACTTCCACTCCCTTAGGGAAGGCTGCTTTCCAAAAGCAATATTAGGCAGATTACAAATCATAAAATGCTACCTGTGTTGGAATTCATCTTGAAATACTTTCCATCAGACAAGAGGAAATAGGAAATTTGTCCATTTCTTCCCGAGTCTTTGTCAACAGCTGTAACGGTGCCAACCACACCCCTGGGAACTGGATTTTCCTCTATTTCAAAGAAGTAGCTCTCGCGCGTAAACATGGGAGAATTATCATTTTCATCCAGGACATTAACTATTACCGATGTACTTGCATTTTGCCTGAGGTTTTCGTCCTCGGAGGTGCTGACCAGGGCTCTAAAACTTAGTATCTGTGCACTTTCATAGTCCAAATGTTTCCGAAGATAAATCCAGCCAGCATCAGGGCTGATTCCAAATGCAACAGAATCTGTGCTAGGCTCTAAGGAATACGTCAGCTTGGAGGTAACGCTGTGTGGATCAAGTGAGTGGGCTTGAACCTGCAGGATCCGGGCACCTGGAGAGGTAGCTTCACTGATTTCTACTCGATACACTAAGTTTTGAAAAACCAAAGTAGGGCTCATCTTGTGCTCTTCAATGATCACTGTCAGCATCAGCAAAGAAGTCAGAGGAGGACTTCCACAGTCTTCAGCTGCTATGTGTAGAGTTCCTGCTGCTCATCTGCAAAATCTGTCCTGGTGAGGTTTACCACTCCAAGGCTCGGATCAACGCCAAATGTATTTGACTGGTTGCTTGCAATACTGTATTTGATTGCCCCATTTAGGCCACTGTCTTTGTCTTCTGCGTGAGCAACGTAGACAGCAGTGCCAGGAGGCTGGGTATGTGAAATAGTTACCTTATCAGATTTGGCAAGAAATACCGGAGGATTGTCATTAACATCTACCACAGATACGTTGACCTGGGTGCTGCTGTAGACAGGGGAGTTACCCAGCTGTGACTGAATGGTGAGCACCACAACAGACTGAGCTTCATGGTCAAGTGGTTTTTTGGTGCGGATGATACCAAACTGGGGGTCAATAGAGAATGTCCCATGTGGATCACCGGAGGAAATTCTGTAAGAAACCACTTCTAAAGAATCTAGAAATGGAAATAACAAAAAATGTAAAAAAAATATGAGTGATAACATGAAGGTTGGTAAGAACATCTGTGAAGAATGCATGCTGTTAAATTCAGTGGAATAAATGTAAGCTACACAGATGTTTGACTTTCTTGGGCTTTTTATGCTTCCTTCTTCCTGTCCCTGGAGCCCTTCAGTAAAACCAAATACTGCACAGGCTTGATCTGACTGTTTACAGTTTGTCCACTTGTGCACCGTTTGACTTTCATCTCACTGGTATGATAAAACTCTATAGAAACAATAGTACAATAGCCTCTTGTTTTTCCCTGATCTAAAATATAGAAAAAAACACTCCCATAAATTAGTCTTATGGGAGTAATTTCACTACACACAGGCATTCACTACACACAAGGAATGAAACAGGTGGCAGGTCTCTGAAAGCACTGCATTTTACTGAACTTACTGTTCATGGATGACCATTGTTATAACCCTTAAACATCAGATGCTACCTAAAGCAAAAGCCATCTAAAGGTTCAGGCTTCTTACCAAGGCTACTCTGCAGGTGCTGCCTCATCCTGAGGCACTGTCCTTCTGGGAAGACCAAAATGGGAGGATCTGACTCAAACTTCTACAAAACTTCTGCCTCTACCACCTTACATGTACAGATCTATGATCAAGCTGGTACATAGACTCATGGCTCTCACTGCTCTGTATAGGAACCAAATACATACGGCTCTCAGGACAGGGTCTTTTATGACTGAGGTCTGGAAGGAGGTAACTCCTTTCCCTCTATAAATGATAAAGAAACCAAATGGATTACATATATTACCAAAAGGTCCCATACATATTCATCTGGACTTCACCACTTAATTTGGGAAAATGTGTGGGTTTTTTGGGTTCTATTTGTTTGTTTGGGGTTTTTGGTGGGTTGGTTTGTTTGCTTTTTCAGCAGCACTTCATGCAGATTCTCTGAAGCTTCTGAATTCTCTCTGCTCATGAGTATTGCTCCGAGATTTGTCTCGCATGGCTAATGCTTTAATACAAACCACACTGTCACACAGACCCTTCCTGACACTTTTCACAACATGCTTCCCATCTCCCTATTTACAATTGCAGAAATCCATCTGTGAGAAAGTGGAGGCAGTCGCCAACCCCCATGGACCACCAGAAAGTAACACAAATCTCCACCTGTTCTAAAGTGCATCGAGATACAGCAGTGATTACACCATTTGCTGTAAATACCAACAGTAAATACAATTTAATGCTTGACAGACTGAATGAATAATATGAAAGTTTTAAAAAAAGTTATCTGCAGATATTTCCAGTTAATGGTCACAACAAAAATGCAATGTAATCTCTGACTGAACATGCAACTTACTTGGAGGCTTTTTGGCCTTTACAGTGCCGATCAGGCTGCCTTCAGGTGCATCTTCAGGAACAGAAAAACTATACCGGGATCTCTCAAATACGGCAGGGGCCGAAGTGGTCTGAAGGATGTTTACTGTGATGGCTGCTTTGGTGGCAGAGGGAAGGCCACCCCCATCCCGTGCAGAAACAGTCAGGAAGAGCACAGAACGCACCAGGTGGTCAAGAGCTGAGATCAGGTAAATAATTCCTGAAAGTATATAGAAAAGTCCCCAGATAAAACATCCACACAAACAGGGTTGAAGTCCCAAAATACAAATCTTAGGAGAAGCGGGCTCTGTGGAAAGTATCTGGGAATCAATCACCTGATGTCTGATCACAAGTTTCTGGTAAAATACCCTTTAATAGTAAATTCCAAGGTCTGTTGAATGTGCAAGCTGCTAACGATTACATTTTACACAAACTATATGAAATAACTAATTCTTTGAAATGAAAATACAATGCTCTGTCCAGAAATACAGCACTTTGGATGTGCCTTCCTCAAGATGAATACATTTTTATGCTTTAACTCTGATGAATGAGACTAGCTGTCTCCAAATACATTCTCTTCTGACTGCTACAGTAAGTCTTCAGTAATATCACATAATTATGCCCAATTTTCAAATACTCTGCATATTACTACAGACACCCACATCTAACTATTATTACCTAAGATGATAGTAGAGATAGAAAGAACAAACATGGCAGGAATCCTGTCTCGTCTTTTTCTACAGTAAAAGCTTGTATGAACTTCAAAGAAAGCTTTGTTTGAGTGAAGACTTCAGTACCAGCAGTAAGAATTACATCTAAACCATAGCTCTTTACAGGATGTTCATAATGGTCCACAACAATTATCCAAAACTGATACTTGTTAACTGTTCCATGACAGAGTTAGTCATTCATTGTCCTTTGCAAGCAAATTAAGATATAAACCCACAAATAAATCATTAGCCTTTAGAGCACTCAGAGATGTTTCATCTAGATCAAGTGAACATGAATACTTAAAAATTTAGGGAAGCACACTAAATCATAGAGCAATATAGCAGATCACAGTATCTTTGTTACCTCATAAACTGTATAACTAAATTATAACCTGATGTCCGCTCAAAGACCAGGTGCTTTCAGCCAGGTAAAAGATGCAATAAGGAAATGTAATTATGTCCTAGACAGCATTAATACTGGTTTGTCTTATCCTTTCCAGCACCTTCTCTATCACTAAGCAGGAGGAAGAACATCTCCACCTATTCTGAGGTGACAAAAACCTGTCGATATTCTAAGACCCTTTGGTGGTCTCAGATATTGCAACACACAGAGAACTATTTGTCAAGTAAGTTTTTCAAAGTGAAAATGAAGATGAGAGGTGACCAAATGCAAGAAAAAGCTTTTTAGCAATGATTGAGTTTAAATATACACTAAACACTAAAATTGCTGTGAGCTGAGCAGTAAGGTTGCAATAAACTCGAACGATTCAACTAATAGGGACACCTTTCCACATACCAACAGATATTTTTAAGAAATCACCTATGCTTTTTGTAGAATCTGGTGAAGACACAAAACCTCTAGCAGCTCAGTAAAACCAAACCTTTAAACTTTGAACTACCTGTGTAATTTCCTGGCTCTCAAGACAGGTTTAGCAGGGATGATATTTGGCATTCAAGTGGGAGATTTATTGGTTAGACAGGGTAAAAATTAGATTTAACTCAAAGTGTCTTAGGAGAATCAGTGCATGATTCAACTACAATATATCTTCTCAAAATTCAGCATGAAGCCACAACACTAATTTGCTACAATGCATTTTTAAGCAGAATAATGGAAAATACATAAAATCCTTATAAATATTCAAAGGCGCACACAGTATACTTTAAAATTATACTGCCAGGACATTATAATAACAAACTGTGTATCAACATCCTTAAAACGCATTCAAAGGGTCTTCAAGATCAAGGAAGAACGCTTTCCACTAACAACAAAGGACACATTCTAGTGTGACAAACAACAGTAAAAACACAACAGATACACACATGGATTCAGAATTCATTGCCGATCCAGCACCTGTGCCAATAACTGATGCGCTTCTGAGAATCAACCTTATTTTGGCCTTTTTTTCCTTTTTTGTCTTGTGACTATTGGGTTTTATGATTAGTTAGACAGCTCAACTAAGTAGTCTTCCAAAGACATAAACTTTTGGCATTTCCTGAGGTAATCTGAGCAACTGTAGCCCGAAGGAAAAGGGGTTTAACCTTTTTTTTTCCAGAGGTTAAATGTATAAACATGGATTTTAAACACTGTTTCTGTCAAATTAAATGAAACCAGTCAAATAGACTGTATTTTACTAATGTGACCAAATAGGTATTTTTCTACTGACAAGGCCAAAAACATCTCATTCTCATTTTGGATACTTCAAGATGTATGTGAAGAGTGGGAAACTACAGAAAAGCTTCACATTGAAATTCTTACTCTCAAAGCAATAACTAACAACTTCAGAACATCCCTTAGCAAAGGGTGGAGCAAACAGTACTCCACTCCAGGAACTCTGAAGACCTGGCGGAACAGAAATATCTCAGAACCCAAACTCCTTCTCTGCTGACCTAGACAGATTACAGCACAATCCATGCCAGTTCAGCCACAGAAAGGAGACAGAAAAGAAAAAGGATAAAAGATTTTGCTTTCTCTCTTCATGCTTTTGCTGTGTCCTAGGGAGGGAAGGGAATACGCAAGTACATCTCGCCAACTCAGTCCTCTCTTGCAGGACCAGGGACGCCCCAAGAACAGTGGCAGATTCCAAGTAGAAAGTAGATGTCTTCCATATGGTTCCTTCTAACCTCAAAACTGTAGAATGCAGGAAATTCTATAACCCACTTTGAGTTTTAATTACATACACTCTGTTTCTTTCAGCCTCTGTAGGACTGGGCATTAGCTTTGCGTCTGGTGATATATAACCTATATAGATATTTGAGAGAGCTCTACCATATGTTGAGGAACATGCCACATTAGGCTCTGTTATGGCACCATATGACAGGAAAGAAGCTGCAGAAGTAAGCAGCACCTGGGATCCCACTTTCTACACAGTTAGGTAAAAACACCAGACTGTGACTAAAATGGGACAGTCATGACTGCTTGGGTCAAAAGTAGATGTCAGCATACCTCAGAGAGGCTGGCTCGGTGTATTTGATCTGCTGAAGTACGGTGCAGCAGGTCCCCTAGTACTACATCACAAAGGCAGAAACACGGGGCTAACTACAAGAAGCACAGAGCAGGAACTGGCTGTGTAAGTCACACATTCCGTGTCTGAAACTCAACAGAGGTATGCCTCACTAGATAACAGGCTGAAGATGAGTCACGGTTTTCGTTTCTTTCCTGTTCTGTAATTAAGAAAAGACAGTGGCTTATTGTTGTTATTACCATAGTCACTTGCAGCCTGCAATTTGCGGCTTCAGAGAACTTAAAATACAATTAAGTTGCTGTCGTAAGAATATATTCTTCCATTATGAAAAACAGTTTCTAGAAACACTGATGATGGAAAGGGAACAATGAGACAGCTCATCTGTGAGGAATGTTTCACCAAGATCAAGGCTCCCAGCTGGGTACCACACAGACACAAGCATGGTTCCACTTTAAGAAGTCACTGTGTAAAAAATCCCACCTTCCTTCTCACGGCTTGTCTCCTCATACATCTGGACAGTCTTATCTGCTGCCTTTAATAATATGTAATCCCCCTTTTTAAAATATACTGTTTCTATCACTGCACTGCCTTGAAAATTTTACCTCTGGTAATTCCTCTTTCTGCACAAGAGAGCTCTGGGATCAATTCTGCTTCACAGGTGAACAATCATATAATTACACACCAGATGAAGCATTAACATCCAGAGCCTTACTTACCCCTTGGCAATCTCATTTTCTTGACTAGATCAGCACAGGTGTAACTGACTGCAGATGCTAACTTTTATAAATCAAAAACATGACCCAGAGACTGCCTGTCATGATTTGCATACACATTTCAGACAGAATCTGCAGTGCTGGTTGCATGATAGCAACTGCCACTACAGGCTTGAGGTTGGGAACAGCTCTGCAGCAGCGCAGGTTAGCTCAGCACAGCCACATCGAGAGTCACAAGCACTTTGCTGCAGAACAATCTGTGCTTACTGGCTGGCGTAAATTGTTACAACGGTTTTGGGGATTGGGTGTACTGTGAGGTCTAATATTAATGAAGCGTGAAATCATGACTGTCAACTCTAACCTGCTTCATCCCTCCACACTCACTTAGGGCACTAACTTCAAAGACATTCTTGCTCTCCGCTTTGTACCATTCAGCACCAAAAAGGTAAAACGACGCCTATGTTCGTCCAGAACGTGCAAACGCATTAGTGAAAGGGAGGACTCTGCAGCACCCACCATCCTCTGGCAACGACAAAAATTTCATGGGGTTTTTTTTGTTCTTATTTTTGTGGGGATGCACTCTGTTGCACAGGTGGGCTTGCTGCTAAGTGCTGTTTCTCAAGAGTTAAAGCCAGGAGACAGGGGCCCACATATAACGATTCTTTTAAAATACATTTATGATCTTCTTCATGATCCTGTGTTCAGTCCTAACATTACAACAGCACAGATCACCAAAGTAGGCTCACTCACCAAAAGCACTTTTTGTATGGCAGAAATAATACTTGTTATCCCAATAGGATTTCCATGCATACCTCTAGCTGACCACTTTGAAAATGTATGTTTTTCCACAGGGTCATCATTTAAGCAAAAAAAAAGACCAGCCCTAAGTTATAGCCATTCACAGGTAAACAAAACATTTTCAATTAGTCAAGTACTGCAGGGGCAAAATACAAATCAGGACGCACTAACTTCAGTAACAAAGTCTGGATTCCACAGAAATGCGTACTCATTTAAATAGCTTCCAGTATTTTCTTACTGTTCATGAAATAAAAAAGCAACTTCAGAACAAGACAAGAGGAATAAAATCAACAACTGTCAACAGTGTTCTATAAGACCATGAAACCGAATACCCTAACAACTTTAAACGATGGCAGTATTTCTTCAGCAAATATCCCAGGACGGGTCAGCTCGTATGACCCGACAGGCAGCTCAGACAGCAAGCAGATGGCAAAAAGGTACATATAGTTCATTACCTCAATTCACCTTCAAAGCTGTCTGCTAGACCTGCTGTTTAATACTGCGTAGGTCAGTGCTGACCCACTGACCTGCTCCAAG